CCCCCCCCCCCCCCCTGAACTGAATCCCCCCCCCCAACCCCCCTCCCCTCACCGCGGCAGGTACTTTTGAGCAGATCCCTCCAGTGCAGTGCGAGAACAAGCCGCCCGAGCTCTGCATCAACGCGCTCGAGGCGGAGCCGGCCGCCGCCGCCGCGCCGCCGCCCGAGCTCTACCTAGCCCTCGGCGGAATCACCGCCGCCGGAGCGGGCGACCCGAGCGTAGATGCTGAACAATACACAGACTCCGTGTGCCGTGTCGAGTCTAGCGGCAGAGAGGACACACATTCGAGTCTAGCGGCAGAGAGGACACACATTCCGCAGTGCGTGGCCCTTGTGTCTAGCGGCAGAGAGAACACGCATCCCGCGGAGTTCGGTGGCCTTGCAATGTGCACTGCACCGCACCGCAGTAGTCCCGCCGCTCATTCTTGGTGTGCTCATGGTGCAGGCGCCGGCGCCGCCGTCGGGCTCCTCGCCGCGATGGTCTACATCCGGCGCAAGCGCAAGCAGATGATGGTCTGAGAGGACCACGCGAGGGCCGCGGCTTGGGGATTTCGGTGGGACCCGGTTTGGCGCGCGATGCGCACGATTCGCACACACGATATCCATGTCCACACACATACACACACAACTTCAGTGTTTTCACAGTTTCGAGGGGAGCAGGGGGGCGGGCCTGAATGAGCGAGAGTGGCGCTATTATTATTGTTTTACATGTATATGCAAACGCGACGTGGGTACGAAAGTACTCTCTATGTGCGTGGGGCTTGAGGCATGAGGGGCGGTTTGCGGCATGTGGGGAGAATGACACCGGCTCCGGGCTCGTCATGCACTCCGACAGTGTACGATCGTTTCACACTCGCAGCGTGGCAGTGTCCTCTCTCCCCGTCTCGATGACACTCACAGCGTGGCAGTGTCCTATATACTAGGCTAGGTTACTAGCGCAGGAGCTGCCACACTCGCCCGGACCGTCCCCTTCTGGGTCCGGTTCCGCAGCCCGCGAGAGCCGACAGCGGGGCCGTGCCGCGGGTGCCTACTGCCGAGTGCCACAAACACTGCGCCGTCCCGCCATCACCTACAGGCTGTCTTGTGTGATGGGTGGGATGTCCAAACGCCACCATCTTGGCTCTTGCGACCTCAAACCCGCGAGCTGTATGGGTGGTCCTGACGTCGACAGACGCCCAAGGACCACGGTGAAGCTGAGCCGGAACGCGTCGACAAGTCTTGTATGAGCCCGTGGCGGTCACCGGCTGAGTCGCTGTGCACGGGCCGGTACCTCAGGCGTCACCTCAGCAGCCTCAGGTCTCAAACTCCATCACCTCCGACGGGACGCCTTCGGTGGCACGCTCGGCGGCGAGTTTGTTGCAGCTCCATCTCGAGTACGGCGTCGAGCCTACTCACTCCAGTTGGTTGGGCACACTCGTTGGGGTCCACTGAGTGTGCCGAACGCGCGAGCGGTGCGTCCTGGCAGCCCGCGCTGGCTGCGGAGCTGCCACAACTCGAGACACGCTTTTTTGGGACATTTTTTCAATGTATGTGGCTCTATTTCGACGCTTTTGTCCCATATACTCGTGCAACAACCCTGTAGCGACATCCTCGCCCATACGCGCAGACGCGAGGGGACGCGGTCGGCCCCCAGTAGCCCCTGAGGGACGGACGGAACGTATCAAGTCGCAAGGAGTTCGTGTCGTCCGGCGGACTTGCGGGGGGCGACCTCAAGAACCTTTCGTTTTTGTGATACCCATCAAATGACACAATCGTTCTGTGGAGTTCCGTGGATCATGTTCCTCCCGCGGAGCGTGGCGGCGCCCTAGCGTGCACAGGAAAGCTTCGAGACCTGGACGGCACCGCAAAGCTGGTCTCGCCGCACAAGGAAGTCAGCTTCAAGGGCATGCGCCCGCTCGACTGCCTCGTCTGCCAGATGAAGGAGTGCTACAAGCGCGGCGAGCCCCTCGTGGCCACCCTCAAGGTGCGCGGTCTGCACCCGCCGCTGCCCCCCCCGCCTCACACCCCTCTGAAGGCCTGTCGTCCCGTGGCACAGGGGCTCAAAGTCATCGACAACACGTACTACGGCACGCACTCGTCGCAAGACTGCGTCGAGCTCACCGTGATTTTCTACGCGCCGCCCAAGGCTATCAACCGGAACCCGGATCTCAACCCCAAGGCGCACTGCTACATCAGCGAGTACCACTGTCCGGACGAAGTTGTCACGGGGATGAGCCCATACGCCCCCAAGTACAACGTGTTTGACAAGAAGGACGGCAAGGCTCCGTACAAGAACTTCCCGCCGCAAATTGATGCGCTTCCCGTGAAGGCCCTCTCCTACCCGGAGGTCAACCTGTTCGGCTTCTGTGGCGACTACATCGTCCAATACTCGCCCCTCCTCGATCGACTTTTCACGTCGGATAGCAGCAGACATGCTCTAGCGACTAGCCTCTAGCAGAGCCAGAGTGCAGAGGTTGTCGGCTAGGACGAGGACGAGGAGGGAGAAGTGGACGCTGCGCGTGTGTATGATATTGTTTGAGAGGTCGTCACCGTGAGACTCGAGACTTGCGCCACTTTGAAATTACTCTTAGGTTGTCTACTCGAGTAGTACTCGAGTAGATTAAGTCTGGTTAAGTGTACGAGTACGTTGGCGTCAAGCCCCGGCTCTCCGCCCTCCGCCTCCGCCCTTCCGCCTAGGCCTCTGCACTGTATGCGTACGCATCCTCCTTCTCCAGCAACTATGTAAACTGCCTGGAGCCTCAGGCCCGGAAAAACTGACGTCTATGTATGAGTGCTCACAGTCGCAGAGGTCATTGAGGCGCTGCTTGCCTCTGGTCTGTCGTTTCACAACGTGTCGTCGGGCGGGCGTCAGTGGGGCGTGCTCGCCTGCTTCCTCTCCCATGTGCGAGCGCTGCTAAGGCAGGTTGAGACGGGCGCAGCCTGGCAGCTGACCATGGAGGACGACCTCGTGCCTCTGCCCTCCTTCCCATCACTAGTCGATCACGCGTGCGGCCTCTACGCCAACGCGTCGCGGCGGCTCAACGGCAGCGGCGTCGAGCTGCTGCAGCTGTCCCCATTCACGGAGCTCCGTCTCACCTCACTCGAGGGGGCAAAAGCGCTCCTGCGTCGGCTGCAGCGCGTGGGCCTCGTGAAGAACGCCGACCAGCAGTTTAACACGCCGGCCATCATGGGCGTGCGGCTGCTCAGGCACACGGGCCGCAAGGTCCGGCGTGAGGCGGAAATGGCGTGGACCCTCGCGCGAAAGACCAACCGCGGCGACATCGCTCGCACGGAGCAAATCACGTGGGCTGAGATGGCGATGCTCCGCCTGCTCACGAACTGGGACCGGGCCAGACGCATGCCCTCGTACGGGAACCCGCGTGGCGGCGAGGAGGACACGGACCTGTGCGCAAAGGTGAAGTGCCGGCGCCGCGCGCCCCAGCGCTTCATGCGAGGTTGAGAGGGGGCGGCAGAGGGGTGGAAGCGGTTCGCGTTCATTTCTACACGTAAAACGAGAAGACGGCACGTGCACGTAAAATGCGTGTGGGCGGGCGGACTCTCACACGCTCCCAGCTCACAGCTCACGACTCACGTGCACGTATCACGTCTCTTTTCGTGTAGTGAAGAGATCTCGACACACTCACTTCGACTTCTGGCAAGCCGCCAAGCCATGGACATGCGCGAGGAGCCGCCGCAGCCGCTCGGCCTCCTCGTCAGAGGGTGGCGCGTCGGGGGCGAGGGCGTGGATTCGGAGGAGCCCCTCTTGCACGGCTGGGGCGTCCCGCACAGCCGCCACCCTGATGTCGACCTCACCCCGGGAAAATAGAGAGGAAAAGAGAGGGTGCTGTAGAGAAAAAAGGGAGAAGAGGAATGGGGGTAAGAGAAAAGGGCGCCGAAAAGGGCGAGCTCATCCGTTTCACCCTTCGACCCCAGCTGAATGATGAGCGGCGAGGCCGGAGAGGAGCTGGATACACCGGCCGCTCGCATCATGGCGCGTCGCGAGAGCCGCGCCGCGATGCCGGACCGGCTCAAGGTGGCGGCGCCGGACGACAGCTCGGATGAGGAGTGGAACGGAGACGACGACGAGGATGAGGAGGAGGACGGTCGCGTTTACTTGGACGCGTCGAAGTGTGGCCGCGTGCGCTTGCACGCGGTGCAAGGACCTGCGCAGTCGTCCTCCGGCCTGGGGGTGGACGACGAACGGCGCAAGAGCCTGGCCGACAAGGGCTGGGCACGCCGCAAAAGGAAAGGAAAAGAGACGGGGTGCGAGAGGAAAACCTTTTTCAGCCTAAAAGGAAATTCAACAGACAACCCAAGGGAGGGATGGGAGGACGGCACGCAAAAAAGAAAGAAAGAAAACAGACATCCCGAGGGAAAGCGCAAAAAAAAAGGGAAAGGGAAAAGGATCCCCCCCTGTGAATGTGAATACCGGTAGCAGGCGTGGGCTCTACTCGCCAGCGGCTAGGCGGCTGGTGTAGGAATCCTACCTGGGTTAGTGCCAGAGAAGCGGGTAAAAGGGTCCGACGCAAAAAATAATAAGTTTGCATTCGGCGCCGGCGCGGGGGTGGAGGGAGGGCACACCGACCGACTGGTATCCATGCACATGTACATGTGCATGTGGAACGACATGCACATGCATGGGGCTATGTGTGTGTAGGTGTTTGTTGTGTGTGATATAGATAGTTGTTTTGTGTGTGTGTGTGTGTGGCAATGTGGCAAATCAGAGTGTAATAGAGAGGTGTTATAGAAATCGGGAGGTTGCACACACAACCCGCCGCGATTTGTCAGAGGGGTCCTCGATTTAAGGGCGGTTACGCTCTTATAGGCGATTCATTGTAGGGAATGAACGATAAAAGGAAAGGAAAAAGAGACGGGGTGCGAGAGGAAAAGTATAGTCAGCAAAGGGAAGGAAAACAGACGGGGTGCGAGAGGAAAAAAGGAAAGGAAAACAGACGGGGTGCGAGAGGAAAACGTACAGCCTAAAGCAAGGGAGGGATGGGAGGACGGCACGCACGCCGCCACCACACAGGGATTTTAAGGAGAGGGGTGTGATGCGCTAGCCGTCGCCCACCCTAGGGGTGTGAGTGAGTCTGCCTCAAGCTCGGGATAAAGAGATTCGCAACCTCCCCTGGGAAACGAAAACAGGCATAGTGTGTGTAGCACCGCGCTGCCAACGAAAACTTGGGGCGTCACACAGACAGCGAGATGGAACTCACCAGTCCGATAAGGATCAACTGGAAGGCTGAACCCTGGGCTTAGACAGGACGGGCGAGAAAATTTCCAAGGGAGACCCCGCTCTACCCAGGGCGCCAAGGAGGAAAAGGAAAGTGCGAAAGGAAAACCAGCCAAACTTGCACGTGACAGCCTCGACTCGACCCCGGCGCGAGATGTTTTCGTCGTTCTCACCGTCGGCCGAGGCGCACCGCCTGGTCGTCCACCACCGTCTCAACCTCACCATCAGGCCCGTGGAGCACACGGCCTACTATCGTCGATTCGCCGACTGCACGGCCGGCGTCCAGCACCCAAGCCGCCAGGTCTGCTGCAACGCTACGTGCGGGCTGTGCGGCGGACATGGCTGCTCTGGTCGCCCCGGCGGGCCACGCCAGTGCTGCATGCCCGCTATTTTGCGTACGGGTCGGGTCTGCGAATCACGGGCGGACGTGGCTTGCAGCCTGCGAGGCGATGACGCTGTCCCCATGGCGTCGGCGGCTTCCAAGCCGCTGCTGCCGTGCGGCAAGGCTGCCGCAGCTCACAACGTGGCCCTGGTATTGCGCGAGCACCGGCGCACCTTCTGGGCCGAGCGCGCCACCGAGCACGCCGTCGTGGCCTTTATGGTCCGCGCCAACGTGACGATCCGCTCTGTGATCGACATCGGCGCCGCCGATTACACGTACAAGCGCGGGGATAAGGCCGACGACACGGGAATGACGCGCACGTTTCAGCTGCTCGGCGACACGGCCCATTACTACGGTTTCGAGCCGGGTCCTCAGGACTTCCGCGCGCTCCGGCGGAAGGCGCGGCGCAACCGGAGCCTGCCGCCTGGGCACGCGCACCTGTACCCGCTGGCGGTGGCGGGCAGCTCGGGGAGCAAGCGCGTCTTTGGCGAGGCCTCGTGGAAACGCATGCGCAACGGCTCGCAGCTGCTCGGCTGGCGTCCACATTGGGACATGAGCTCGTCGCCGAACACACGCACGACCAACGCGCTGCTCGAGGGGCTGCACCAGTACAGGCACGTGGGCGAAGTGCAAGCGACGACGCTCGACGCCTTCGCACAGAGTGAGCGGCTGCAGACGCTCGATTTTGTCAAGGTTGACACGGAGGGCACCGAGCGCGAGGTGCTGCTCGAGGGCGCTGCGCAGCTGTGGCCAAGCGCGTGCGCACAGTGCTGTGGGAGTATGGTGACAAGATGTCCGCAGACACCTTCCAAGCGGCCAAGAACCGCTCGTTCGTCCCGCCGCCCTCGCCCGACCTCATGCACGGCCCCACGCTCAAGCGCCTCTCCGCTGCACTCCTCGCGTACGGCTACCGCTCCTACTTTGCGGGCGTCACGTGGGCGGGGAGGGCCGTCTTTGTCCCTCTCCACGAGGAGTACTGGGACGACGGCTTCGAGGTGTGCCGGCTGCCCAAGTCGGGCATCTGCTGGCACGACATCGTCTCCACCCTCGCCGGCTCCCCCGAGGAGTACGCCATACGCGCGAGGCCCGCGCCGTCCACATGGGCCCACACCGTCGCCACGTGCCTGAGGCCGCAGAGCGCTCATGAGCGGCCGATGCTGCACGGCGGCGAGCGGCACCCGGACGCACCAGGCCAACCCAGGAGAGGGGTGTGAGTGTGCTGTGAGACAGGTTCTTTCGCATTCTTTTTGTCGGACTTTGGGCTGAGCGAAATGGCCGTGCTGGCTCTCGCCGCCGCTGCGGCGACCGCCCTGCTCGCGCCGCTGCGGCCGCTGCCCTCCCGGGGCCGGACGGTGCTGCGACCACCGCCCAGCATGGGGCTTGACGAGGCGGAGATAGGCGACACATGGTGCGTGTGCTGGCGTAACGCCCCTGCTCGTGCCCCACCCATACCGCTCTGCAGCCGTGCGCCGCGCCGCGATTCTCGGCGTGCCGCAGCCACATCGCCGCCAATCCGCGCCGCGCGCACAATACACCAGCCCAATGCCGTCTGTCAACCGCCGCCATCCCACCGCCTCAAGCCGACCGCCTCCGCCGCGCCGACCGCGCCGCAGGTTTACGTCGTTCGACTCCAAGGGCGAGGACGGCCTCGCCCCGGACGGCACGTTCCCGCCGGGCGAGGACCTCGTGGAGCGCGAGATGCGGCGGCTGTTCAACGTCGACGGCGACGACGAGGAGTTTGCGGCGGATGAGATCGACGAGCTCAAAGTGAGCGCAGCACTCGCCCTCTCCGCCTCCCTCACCGACATACACACACACGCGCGCCTGGCTTTGCGCGACGCAGCCAGCGCACACCCGTCCTTGCCCGCACGCGTCTGCGCGCACGTGTCAAGCTTCCCCTCTGCCGTGCCCCTTCCAGCACACCGCCACTAACCTTGTGGTGCCAGCACAACCCGAAGCGCCCGCACACGCCACATCGTGGATATCTCGTGACAGCTGGCGGCCGCCCAAAGCTGGTGAGCAGAACGCCCCTCCAACGCACTCCCCCCTCGCTGTGCGCGCAGCTCATGATGAGGCTCCGGAAGGAGCTCGGCGAGGAGGACTACGCGCGCATCTTTGACCAGCACAAGGCGCCGCCGAGAGCATGCCGACATCCAGCCGAGATCTGGCTGAGATCTAGCTGAGATCTGGCCGAGGTCCAGCCGAGATCAGGCCGAGGTCTAGCGAGGGCGCGGGCGACCGTTGGCGGCCAGGCCTTCGCGCGCCATTACCGACGCTCGCCCACCCCACCCTCTCGCCCCTCGCCCCACCTCGCATGACGCATGACATGAGCGGCACTCGCCTCACAGCCACAGCCACACAGCTGCAGGTGCGCGCTAGACCCCGCCCTCTCGCCCTCTCGACCCCCCCCCCCCCCCTTCAGGTGCGCGGGCACGACGTCTGGGGCGACCGACGAGTCTGACGCCTGTCCGCGGGCGCTTGGGCAGCGGTGCGGCTCTGGCGCTGCGAGCAGCTGCAGTGGCATGACCTTGTGGAGGCGGTGTTTCGGGCTTTTGTTTCGGGCTGTTGTGGACCATGTGGCGAGGAGGGGCCGGAGGAGAGGCGGCGGTGGGGGAGGGGACCACCGGCGCTGTACGGTGAGCGGCGGACGAGGTGGGCGAGGGCCGTGCGGAGCGGCGGAGCGAGGGCGGCATGTTGTGGCTGGGTTCTTGGCGGTGGGGAGCTCTGCTCGGCTCTCGCGTTTGGATCGCGCGCGGCGCCGCGCGCGGTGGTGCCCGGGGCATGCCTTTTCGCGTTTGCACGACCTTGTACGTTACAACACACACACGCGGCCCCCAGTAAATCCCGCCGCGCGTAGAGCTGCGCGCGCGTGCGGGGGCTGCGGCGTGGGCGCCCTCTCCACGTGTACCGCGACCGCGCGCTCGGCCTGCCTCGCTCGCGGCCCAGCCCCGTCCGCCGCCGGTTCCGCGGCCGCGGTCCCTGTCATAGCTACGCGTGCCATGGATCGGCGGGCACTTGCAAGTGGGCAGGCATAGTGAAGGATAGTCGCACGTGCCCAATCACAATTCACATTCCCCTTGCTCTAGAGACTAGAGTGCGCTAGGAAGCGAAAGGAGCAATGCGCGCGCTTAACCATTTTGCTAGTTTTTCTTTTCTTTTGCATTTGGTTTGGCCTTTGGCATTTTGGAGAGGAGAAGGGGCGAATATGGGCGGCCGCGAGCCTCTACCGCAAAGTGTCGCATGCGAGAGTCAACCGTAACGTATTTTCACCCCTCGAGCGCCCCGATCGCCTCCGTCACCGCGGCCACGAGCCGCGACGCCTCCCCCTCGCTGCGCGGCCCGTCCCTCCTCCACCTCGCCGCGTCGTGGTGCCTCGCCGCGTTCGCCCAGACGCGCAGCGAGTGCAGCTGGCTCCGCAGCTCGGTCGGCAGGCCGCACTCGCGGTGCCAAAAGTTGATGCGCTCCTCGAAGCCGTCGGGCGCCGCCGCAGCGCGCGAGGCGTACACGGCGTCGAGGCGTGGCATCAGCGTCTTGAAGGCCAGCATCATGTTGTCCTGGATGCGCGCCTGCGCGTCGCCGGACGTGCGCATGCCGCGCACCTGCACCGAGAGCGGCGAAGGCTCGTAGCCGGTGGTGCGGGCGGCGGTGGCGGCCTCGTCTCCAAGTGCCGGCGCAGCCTCCTCCATCCCCGCCCCGCGCTGCGAGCCAGAGAGCAGCGCCTGCAAAGTCGCGAGAGCCTCGGGCAGCGTGGGCCGCTTGCGCAGGCTGTCGTGGCAGAGGCTCTTCCCGTCCGAGTCTCGACGCCGCGGCTACGCGTCCGCGGGGCTCCGACAAAGCCAGCGGAGGTTGAGTGAAGACCGCATGCGATGTGCGCGAGGGCACACGAGAGGGACTCAGGAGAGGTATCCGTGAGTACCCTACGATAAACTAGTGGCCTACCACGAGTTGGGGCCCCCAACCCCAATCGTTATCGGCGGCGGAGTGTCGCGCGTGCTTTTATTTTTGGGTTTTGGGACATTTTCGACGCTTTGTCCCATATACTCGTGCAACAAGCCTTGCCCCGGCCTCGCTGGACGGTGGACGTGTGTGGCCGTTTTCTATATTCTACGCGTCCGATCGCGCCTCCCCGCTGCCCGCGTGTGTCTCTCAGTGCCACCCGACGCTGTCGTCGAGGCAGCAGCTGACAGTCTCCTCGTGGTCGAGCAAGCCTACGCATGAGCTCCACAAGCGCGTGACAGAGAGAGAGAGAGCAAAATCGCACACGCGTCCATCGCCTCCGCTGGCTCGCTGCCCCTCACACCGCCCCCCGCCACCGCAACCAACCGGCACACCATCCCGCGTCACGTAGCTCGGCGGGCTGCCACGTGCCCCTCTCACCCGCTCCCACGTCGTGGTCCCGCTCCCACGTCGTGGCTCGGCGAGTCTCGGCGGATCTCTTCGAATCTCGGCGGATCTCTTCGAATCTCGGCGGATCTCGGCGGATCGCTATGCTAAGCGCGCACCGAGCGTCCGCACCGACGACGCGTCCAAGTCCGGCACGCGCGCCTGCGTGCGCGGTCGATGCGTCGACGAGCGCGATCTGGGTCGACCCCAAGGCCGATCTCGGGCCGATCTCGGGCCGATCTCGGGCCGATCTCGGGCCGATCTCGCGCGCGCCTCGCGCCGCTCGCGGAACCAGCCGACGACGCACTGCCTCTCCCTGTGCGTTCTCCTCACTCGGTGCTCCACCTGAGTACTGGAGGGGCGATGCGGGTGCGATCTCGCTGCGATCTCGCTGCGATGCCGGTGCGATGCCGGCGCGACGCCGGTGCGATCTCGGTGCGATCTCGCTGCAATGCCGGTGCGATGCCGGCGCGACGCCGGTGCGATCTCGCTGCGATCTCGGTGCGACCTCGATGCGATGCCGGAACGATGCCGGTGCGATCTCGGCTCATCTCGGGCTCCTCTCGGCGCGAATCTCGGCGCCTCTCGGCTAAATCTCGGCACCTCTCCGCTCATGAGGAGGACGAGCGTGCCGCCGTTCGGCGCCACGTCCTCGACGTACTCCTGTGGACCCTGCGAGGTGAGATATGGGGAGATATGGGGAGATGTGGGGAGATATGGGGCACCACGTCCTCGACGGCCTCTCGAGTGCTAGATATGGGGGAGATATGGGGGAGATATGGGGGAGATATGGGGGAGATATGGGGAGGTGTGTCCTCTCTAGTGCTAGATATGGGGTACATATGCTGGAGATGTCGAGGAAATATGGCGAGCTGAGTCCTCTCTAGCGCGAGACATGCGGCAGATAGGCAGCAGATGGGCCCACAGACAAGAGACTCCGACGTCTGTATTGCACGGCAGCCAGACCGTGATCCGCAGCACGGTGGCCCTGGACCTCAAGGGCACCGAGCGGTGAGACACCTGGAGAGAGCAGCATTCGACACTGAACGCAGTCGTTCCAAGCCGCGTAGACACGGGGTCCTCCCTTGTTTGTTTGTCCTTGGACCCTGCGCCGCTTCGTTCACCGTCTCGATGGGCTTATTCTCGCCTGG